ATTTGCCGCGTTTGGACTTTTATGCCAAAAGATCTCATTCCCTAAGAATTCGAGCCTGGCCAATGGAATCCTCATTGGAGTTGCAAGCCTTATTCTCTACCAAACCAAGGCAAGTTCAAAAATGGTGAGGGTTTGTCTTCATAAGCATCCGCTCAAACCCACACAAATCTGCAAATATTACCCTCATAGATGCCTTTGCACTCACTTCTGGCTTCGCTCATCCATGTGAAATGGAATTTTATGGTCCATGCAGTAGATTATAGGCTCGTCGAGATCACCAACTACTCCATTATGGTAATATACAAAGACCCGGTAATTGTTTCTGCTGCCGGCTCCTGTCCAATCTCTGCTTCTACGCGAAAAATCGCCTATCGACTTTCACTCATAAGTGATGAGTCAATTTTAAGTCCAACATCATTTGTGTCTAGACATTTGGTCATAGCAGGCAGATCCACCTTCTGCGCTATCATATAGAGGGTCACTTGACATCAGAAAAGGCGGCTGTGCATCAACAACATGAAAGAGGAGGGCGAAAGGAGTTACCGGCAAATTTCGAGCACGTGGACAGCTGTCATTCCAGAGACCGTGTGTCGCTGTTACTAGACATTACAGTAAGCATATTACTGACGCAAATATCAGTGTACATCACCGCGCTGCAAGCTACAGAAATAGTCGGGACTCCTCAAAGTACTCAAATTAGATTACTGACATTGACTCTCCCTGCCCCGCTTACTTTGTGTGTACATGCCTTTTCTTGCCTCTTGTGAATATCTACTGCTCCTTATTTTTGATTTCATCAACATCCTTGCCTCTGTTAATATAAGCTTTTTCCTTTTTGTGAATTATTCATTGAAAAGTTTGTTTTGTTGTCGTTGTTGTTGGTTGTTGCGCTAAGGGATTAGCTTACAGCATATGTTCAGTGCCGAATAATTGTTCAATGTCTACAAATCACCATTGCATTTCCATCGTGTCCGGTTAAGAACAGAAGGATGTACACTATTTCGGACTGAGCAGGCGTGACACCTTGGGTGCATGTATATGTGGACGTGATATTATGAGGTCAACCGTGTCCGAGGCATCGTTGACTTTCGACATGCCACCATTTGGGGTCGATTCGTGAGTTAGCAGAACCCGTTCACTCCATCTCATGAGCACATTGTCGACTAGCCTCATCGAATCAGTTGACTGTCTTAGACGTGCAAATAAGCTGTCGCCAATTTATTTCCGTTCTACTGCTACCGGGTCAATGTTCCTGTCTCGTTAGTTCAAATGGTGCATTGCCCCAGGTGGATTCTTTGCTATTAAATTTGACTGGCAGAGAACCCAATGCTCCCAAATCTCCAACACACCTACTGCAGGCTTTATAGCTAATAAGCAATAATGTGCGTGCCTTATTTCTCACCACTTCCTGTCTCATTTTAGACCACTGTTTATATCTTCCATTACTTTCTACTGCTTCACATCATCCCAGACACATTGATCATAATGGTGCTCCCCCTTCTTCTCAAACAACGGGAGTTAGATAACTACAGAGTCGAAACAATCGGGACAACACGAAAAATAGCAATTGTGAAATGGAGCTGGTAAAAGAAAGAATGTTTACAGAGGTGACAGGAATGCATGTTGTCTTCCGTTGCCTCCAACGTCGGATACTCAGCTCAGCACTCCGTGCGGTAAATGCGAACTTTTGAGTTGTTCGTGCTTTGGACTACAACATTTGCCAGTGAAATAGGCAGTTAGGGAATGTTCATGAAATACGCCTAAGCTATGGCTGTGCAGCAGAGCACATTGCATTTGATTGGGTTGAAGTAGATGCCAGCCCACGGTTGTTTTCAATGGAGTGACATAGTGGTGAACCGAGGAGTTCAAATTGCCCATGACAGATAGCACGGCCTGTGACTCGAGGTTGTTTAAAGGGTTACAAGGAAATAACCGGGTTGCTTTTGAAAACATAAGTACATATGGCAAGAATAATGGGGAGTTTGCATAACTCCCCTCACCTTCTTGATGAAGTAAGATCAATCCGGATCTTTTGATAAACTGCAAGCAAATCGGGCGATAACCATTCGGCATTACCAAAACATTTCAGTTATATTTAAAATAAGATGTTGTAGTAATATTGGCGATTGTGAAATTGATACGGCACAGGATCTGACCACTTATTGCCCACATCGTCGCCAATCAACTCAAAGCAGGCGTTGGACCACTTGGTCATTTTCATCTATTAATCAACTAATGTGGGAATCCCTATGCATGTACAAACGCACGTATGCACACACAGGCAAATGTGTGCCTGTATAAGTGTATAGGCGAATACGTGAAAAAAACGTGCCTGGCATAAGGTAATAGTTCTGAATGACGCAGAACATAATGAATATTTGAAGACGAACATTTTGGGGAGGAAGGCAAGACGTAGAGATCTTGCAACGGAGTTTACATGGCATTCAGTATATAAGTAAAGAGATGGACTGAATTTGTTTTCAGCTTCCCATGTAATTAAAACGCGTAGGAGCAATAGCCGCATACTTGAAAAAATCCGTTGAGAGAAACGGGCAATTTGGTAAGGTAGGCCGCACAGGCATTACTTCTTTTGTCTATTTAAGTTGCTGAACAATTCTTTTAAGATTTGCTTTCGGCACTATCAACAAATAACAAGATGCTTTAAAAGTGGTATTATATGCTGACAATGGACTAAAAGCAGATGACCTCGTAAAACGCCGAC